TGAACCCGGGAAGCGGAGCTTGCAGTGAGCCGAGATCACGCCACTGCATTCCAGCCTGGGTGACAGAGCAAGACTCCCGTCTCAAAAAAAAAAAAAAAAAAAAAAATTTGTTTAGTTCGTCATTGGTGTGTTATATTTGCAATTTCTTAAAAAGAAGTTTTGATGTACTCAGTGCTTTTAAGTAATACTGTCTGGGCATATGTAATTTCCTTTCCCAATCTCTCAATAGGCACACCTTGGGCCTACTCCACCTCCACATAGCCTTAATTACAAATCAGAGGACAGGCTTAGTGAGCAAGATTGGCCAGCATATTTCAAGGTCCCATGTTGTGGGGTTGATACATCTCAAATTGAGGTATGTTGTGTTTTTTTTTTTCCCCTTTAAGTTACTTGGACACACTCGCATGCTTTGACTACCTAGTTAAGATATTTCTCTCACCTATTCTTTCTGCCACTCTTACTGTCTTTCATACTCATCCTTATTCTATGAAACTCAGATATTTACTTGCTTCCTAACACTTCTTGCCCCTGAAGAAATCATGGAAAGTAGATTTAATGATGGTTATTTGAATGATTTTGAATGTGATAAAGTATCTGCCTTCTATTGTTTCTCTCCCCACCTGTACTTACTTCTCTTTTTCTTTTTCTGTTCTTTCTTTCATACTGTTTTAGGGCTAGTTTATTGTTATTACTATTTTTAATAGTAGTACTATATTAATAGTGTTAATAGTAAACTTGTAAAACTGAAGTTTAACATACTTACAGAAAAGTACACAAATAAAAGCGTACAGCCTGATAAATTTTACACAGTGAATATACCCAGGACCACCAACTAGATGGAGATACATAACACTACCTGAGCCCCAAAAGTGTCCCTTAGCCCAGCCACTCTTCTCCACCAAAGACAATCACTGTGCAGATCTTCTAAGCGACCTGTTAAGTGTTCATATTTTTAACTTGCCGTTAATAGGTTTCTGGCATCTTTTGGGTTTCTTAATTTGGAAGACAATCTCTAAGTTCATGAACATTTGCTTTGTTTCAACATTTTTCGATTTAAATATATATGCATATAAATAGTCTCTGTCAAGGCCAGTAGATTGCTTGACGGTAGGAGTTCCCAGACTTGCCTGGGTAACATAGCAAGACCCCATCTTTAAAAAAAAAAAAAAAAGCTAGGTGTGGTGGCCGAGATGGGAGGGTTGCTTGAGGCCAGGGGTTTGAGGTTCCAGTGAGCTATGATTGTGCACTGCACTCTAGCCCCAACAGAGCAAGATCCTATCACTTAAAAAATAATAGGCTGAACTGGGCATGGTGGTTCACGCCTGTAATCCCAGCACTTTGGGAGGCTGAGGCAGGTGGATCACCTGAGGCTGGGAGTTCGAGACCAGTCTGACCAACATGGAGAAACCCTGTCTCTACTAAAAATACAAAATAATTAGCTGGGCATGGAGGCGCATACCTGTAATCCCAGCTACTCAGGAGACTGAGGCAGGAGAATTGCTTGAATCTGGGAGGCGGAGGTTGCGGTGAGCTGAGACCGTGCCATTGCACTCCAGCCTGGGCAACAAGAGTGAAACTCCATCTCAAAAAGAAAAAAAATGAATAGGCTGGGCCCAGTGGCTCACGCCTGTAATCTTAGCACTTTGGGAGGCAGAGGGAGGCAGATCATGAGGTCAGGAGTTGGAGACCAGCCTGACCAACATGGTGAAACCCCATCTCTACTAAAAATATAAAAATTAGCCAGGCATAGTGGCACACGCCTGTAATCCCAGCTACTGAGGAGGCCGAGGCAGGAGAATCGCTTGAACCTGGGAGGCGGAGGTTGTAGTGAGCTGAGATCGCACCACTGCACTCCAGCCTGGGTGATAAAGCGAGACTCTGTCTCGAAAAATAATAATAATAATAAACAATAATAATAAAAAATAGTCTCTGGTTTTATAAACATTTTTGAAACTTTATACTGGGATTTTATTTTTTAAGTTTATTTTTTAGGTTTGTAAATTGCATATGAGGGAGTATCATTTTTAGAGTTGCTGTTTTTCTGTGATAATTCTAAAGGCAGTGTTGAGTTTTTCAATAATTTTGTAAGGTACTGAGCTCTGCCCTGCAGTATGATTTTATTTTTTCTTTCTTTCTTTTTTTTTTAAAAAACAGAATGGAGTGCAGTGGCACGATCTTGAGTCACTGCAAACTCCGCCTCCCAGGTTCAAGTGATTCTCCTGCTTCAGCCTCCTGAGTAACTGGGATTACAGGCCAGTGCCACTGTGCCTGGCTAACTTTTATATTTTTAGTAGAGGTGAGATTTCGCCATGTTGGCCAGACTGGTCTTGAACTCCTGTCCTCAAGTGATCCACCTGCCTCAGCCTCCCAAAGTGCTGGGATTACAGGCGTGAGCCATCGCACCTGGCCTGCAACATGATTTTCCTGGATGTTGGTGAATCTCAATCTTCTTTTCTGACAATAATTTTAACCATTATTATGACACCTTTACTGAGGCTGCAAGCTTCTTGGCCCACAGACTTTAGAAGGAAATAAGTAAGGAAATTAACATTACCTTAGCTGGGCATGTTGGCTCACGCCTGTAATCCCAGCACTTTGGGAGGGCAAGGCGGGCAGATCACTTGAGGCCAGGAGTTCAAGACCAGCCTGGCTAAAGTGGTGAAACCCCGTCTACCAAAAGTACAAAAATTAGCCGGGGGTGGTGGCATGCGCCTGTAATCCCAGCTACTTGGTAGGCTGAGGCAGGAGAATTGCTTGAACCCAGGAGGTGGAGCTTGCAGTGACCCGAAATCGCAGCACTGCACTCCAGCCTGGAAGACAGAGAGAGATCCTGTCTCAAAACAAAAACAAAAAACAAAGAAATTAACATTACCTTTGTGATTCTTGCAACTTTCATGTTCATGTTAAAGTAATTTCCCATTGTGTGTGCCCCTAGCCGGTTTTTTGTTTGTTTGTTTGTTTTAAATTCATTTAAGTAAAGCCATCACTGGTTCTTTCCTTCTAGATGTTCTCATAAAACATTGAATATAGGTTTGATAAAAAGAAGCCACTGTTACTGTTTGGACTTGAGAGAAGATTAATAAAGTCACTTTTTCTTTTTTTAAACCAAAACAAGGTAGGTAAATTGTTTGACCTTTTGTAGGCACAACATTCATGCTGACCTCAGCTGCTTTTATTATCTGCAAATATCTTGAGTCTAAGGATTCATCATTTCCCTAACATTTTGTAAACTATCTCATCTACCATACCTACTCAAATCCTTTTATTTTAAAATTTTTGTAGTGCATCAAGGGATTATGGCTTTTTTGATGTGTTTCTATGAAACTGAGGCCCTGATTAGGCTGTCAGCAGATACTGTATTACATTGATTGTTTTAGTTGGTAGAGACACACGTGTCAACTAGACCAGTTTCTCCCTTTTGCTGAGAAGGGTGAAGCTTTTAGATAATATTTAGTTATGGGGGATGTTTGTGCCACTGTTTAAAGTGATTTGACCCTGGGTCCTCCTCCAACCTTACGTTAGAAGGCCTATTTTCCTCTCTTGTTCTAAGGGCATGTAATGAAGTCTTCAGTACACAAACTTTCTCCCTCCCTGTAGGTGAGTGGTTATTATTATTTTTTTTTGTCACGGGCTCGGATATCATGTTCTTATGTGTAAACATTGGACCATATAGTACTCACAATACTTTGGCAAAAAGCAAACCAACCGAAAACTGAAGGCATGCCTTCGTGTCTTATTTGCAACTTGGACCATGATCTTGCCCCTTGAAATCTTCAGGCTGTTCTGATGAAGCCTTCTCTATGTTGAAATGCCCAGTCAAGGTGGCCAGAACCATCTGGAGAAGGTAGAGTTGTAAATATGAAGTAACATGTATAATTCTAAAGGATTCTTATAATGAGAGAGAGGCCAGTGACTGAGGCTGGCAATCAGCTTTTTCTGATTGCCAGCCTGAAAAATCTTCTGAAAATCATAAGCTTTTTCTTTCCTTATTTGAATCTGTAAAGACCCATAAGTGCATTTTGAATTTGTTCATCTATAAGCTGTTAACCCAAATTCATGTCCCAGGTTTTTAAGAGAATAAGCAATAGAATATAGGTGTTTCCAAAGAGGAAGACGTATAGAAGCAGATAGGTGTCTAGTTCATTCATTCACAGATAGGCACTAGGTTAGATCCAGTAGTTGGCATGCATGCATCAACATGTTAATCGGAATTAAAGGCTGCTACATTTAGGCTTGGCTAGATCATCTATAAATTGAAACACAAAAGGGAATTGTTAACTAGGGAAGTATTTGTCCAGGTTCCTTAAAGTTTAAATACAGGGATCCAACTAGTATTCTCCAAAATTTTTCATATCAGACTTTACTGCTGTGGAGCACTTGGCTGTTGTAAGAGGAGTGTTTCATCTCTTATAAGTATGGTAATGAAAGGAAATTAGGAGCCAGTGGGACAGTGCAGGGACTTAGGTGTAAACAATGGGTGAATCTTTTTTTTTTTTTGAGATGGAGTTTTCGCTCTTGTTGTCCAGGCTGGAGTGCAGTGGCGTGATCTTGGCTCACTGCAACTTCCACCTCCCAAGTTGAAGCGATTCTTTTGCCTTAGCCTCCTGAGTAGCTGGGATTACAGGTGCCTGCCACCATGCCTGACTAATGATAGGTGAATCTTAATTGTGAAGATTAGTATGTTTATGAGTAGAGATGGCTTCATATCAGAACTTTATCTTACAAGCTACTCTCTACTTTTCCGCCTCCCTACTCCATGCCAACAGAGTTAATGTAAGCATAGTAGAGTAATGTTTCATCTTTGTGCGTGTAGTTTTCTTTTTTCGGGGTGGGAGGAGGTGAAGTTTTTACTGTCTTTCCATCTATTTACATATGTGAGTCCAGGGAAAACAGGCAGCTTAAATTATGATATAATTTTTTACAAAGGGAAAACCTGAGTTGAAATTATTGTTTTACTTTATTCATTTCTTTACAGTGAGTCAAAAATTTTTTCCCCTTAACTTCACATAGAAAATGAAACTTTACACAATAAAGTAAGGATGGCAGGTTTCACAAGGGAAAAAGGTTGCTGTCAACTTCTCTCCTCAGGAATATGGAAATGTGGGTGGATTATCTGTTCAGAAGAGGTTTCCTTTATTACTTATTTTTCCTTTTTTCATTTAAGACATCTGTTAACATTTCACACAGCCCAACAGATGTTGGAAAGCAAGTCCCATACTTTGTTCTCAAGAATAATGACATTTCCTCAGTTGGTTCCCCCACCTCTGTGACTGAGTCCAGCCTGCTGCATAATTTGCATATATTAAGTTATATACCTTAATGCCATATGAATTTGTAACTTCAGCATTATTTTTA